CCCTGTGATAGTGTTTCCTCACTTAGCTCATGCGAGCCCAGCCCAATTTTACTCTTTAAGTGTGCGCGTGTGTGTGTGTGTGTGGGGGATATGTGTGTATTCACATCATTTATGTTAATGAGAGTGTGGGGAGTTAGTTGGAGGGTGGGGTGGGCTGCTTTTAACTATGTAAAGCACTTTGTGCTACATTTTTTTGTATGAAAAGTGCTTTATAAATAAAGATTTATTGATTGATTGAAGAGTGAGGCTCTGGCGGTGGGTGATTGGCTTACTGGGCTCCCACGACTTCCAGGTGAGCTGAGATGGTAAAGGGGAGGGTTGAAGTATCTGGGTGTGTACGTGGGAGATGAGGCTACAGAATGTAAGAACTGGGAAGGGTGGTGGAGAAAGTTGGGGGAAAATTGGAAAAGTGGAGGTGGCTGTTGCCCCAAATGTCATATAGAGGGAGAGTGTTGATTATAAATAACTTGGCCACTTCTGTTTATGGCATCAATTAGCTTGTATAGAACCCCCTCCTGGTGTGATACATGATCTTCAAGTTTTGTTGGTTTATTTCTTTTGGGACAATCAACACTGGGTACTCCAGGCAGTACTTTTTTTTGCCCAAGATGAAGGTGGACAAGGATTGGTTCACCTAGAGAGCAGAACTTTGTGTCTTTCTGTGATTTGAGATCATAACCAAAGTTTCACATTCATTTCCAGCTGAACACTGAACATTTAAAAAGTGCTCTTTTGTGCGTATAACATGTAAAAATTATGAAATAAATATGTGATGATCTCAAATCACAGAAAGAAAAACACACAAAGTGTGATTTATTTATATAGAAGAAAGTGTTAACAAGCTTAAGTTGATGTGAGCAGTAAATAAAAATGGTTAAACACACAGTATCGCTCTCTAACTGCTCCTCTTCCTGGAGTGAAGCACAGCCTGATAACCCTCCCTCTTCTTCCTGCTCTTAAACACAGCACCTCCTCTCTGTCCACGTGTTTCCTCGTTCCCTCCCCTTCAGATCTGCATTTTGAAGATGGGTGTAACCAACATGTGGTGACGTGTAAGAGCTGACAGGCTCCATTCACTGCAGAAATACAGGTTTTTGAGATCAGAGCTCAGACTAGTTTCAGTTATAAGGAAGTGAAACTCACACAGTCACTGACACTGAGAGGAGAAATGGCGCAGAAAGGAGTTCAGCTGGACCGAGAAACCTTCTCTTGTTCCATCTGTTTGGATCTACTGAAGGATCCGGTGACTACAACCTGTGAACACAGCTACTGCAGGAACTGTATTAAAGGTTTCTGGGATGAAGAGGACAGGAAGGGAATCCACAGCTGCCCTCAGTGCAGGAAGACTTTCACACCGAGGCCTGTCCTGGAGAAAAACACCATGTTAGCAGCTTTAGTGGAGCAGCTGAAGAAGACTGGACTCCAAGCTGCTCCAGCTGATCACTGCTATGCTGGACCTGAAGATGTGGCCTGTGATGTCTGCACTGGGAGGAAGCTGAAAGCCATCAAGTCCTGTCTGGTGTGTCTGATCTCCTACTGTGAGAAACACATACAGCTTCATCTGGAGTCTCCTGCCTTTGAAAAACACAAGCTGGTGGCCCCCTCCAAGAAGCTCCAGGATAACATCTGCTCTCGTCATGATGAGGTGATGAAGATTTTCTGTCGTACTGATCAGCAGAGTATCTGTTATCTCTGCACAATGGATGAACATAAAGGCCATGAAACAGTCCCAGCTGCAGCAGAAAGGACTGAGAAGCAGAAGGAGCTCGAGGTGAGACGACTAAACATCCAGCAGAGAATCCAGGAGCGAGAGAAAGATGTGAAGCTGCTTCAACAGGAGGTGGAGGCCATCAATGGCTCTGCTGATAAAGCAGTGGAGGACAGTGAGAAGATGTTCACTGAGCTGATCCGTCTCCTCCAGAAAAGAAGCTCTGATGTGAAGCAGCAGGTCAGATCCCAGCAGGAAACTGAAGTGAGTCGAGTCAAAGAGCTTCAGGAGAAGCTGGAGCAGGAGATCGCTGAGCTGAAGAGGAAAGACAGCGAGCTGGAGCACTTCGCATACACAGAGGATCACAACCAGTTTCTACACAACTACCCCTCACTGTCAGCACTCAGTGAGTCTACACACTCATCCAGCATCAATATTCGTCCTCTGAGCTACTTTGAGGATGTGACAGCAGCTGTGTCAGAGACCAGAGATAAACTACAGGACATTCTGAGAGAGGAATGGACAAACATCTCACTGACAGTCACTGAAGTGGATGTTTTACTGTCACCACCAGAGCCAAAGACCAGAGCTGGATTCTTAAAATATTCACAAGAAATCACACTGGATCCAAACACAGCATACAGACGTCTGTTATTATCTGAGGGGAACAGAAAAGTAACATTGATGAAACAAAAACAGTCTTATTCTGATCATCCAGACAGATTCACTTATTATTATCAGGTCCTGAGTAGAGAGAGTCTGACTGGACGTTGTTACTGGGAGGTGGAGTGGAGAGGGAGAGCAGTCTGTGTAGCAGTCGCATACAAGAATATCAGCAGAGCAGGGTTTGGCAATGAATGTGGTTTTGGATCTAATGACAAATCTTGGGCATTATATTGTGACACAGACAGTTTTCAATTTTGGCACAACAAAGTCCACACTGTCCTCTCAGGTCCTCGGTCCTCCAGAGTAGGAGTGTACCTGGATCACAGAGCAGGTATTCTGTCTTTCTACAGCGTCTCTGAAACCATGACTCTCCTCCACAGAGTCCAGATCACATTCACTCAGCCGCTCTATGCTGGACTTTGGCTTTATTTCTCTGATGGAGCCACTGCAGAGTTGATTAAAGTCAAATAGAGAAGACAGGTTCATGTTGATCCCTGACCATTATATGTACTTGTGTAGTTTCTAAATGAGGCTTTACATTTTAGAAGCTGAGAAGTTCAGTGGTCCATTGATGTGTGAAAATAATATTGCACTGATTCTAACTGTACTTACATTTATATACCTTACATCAATATAAATCTGAATTTGTTCTTATGGCTGATAATCATGTGAGTTTAAATGATACTACTCTTTATATTCAGCATGTTTGAAATCTGTCATCAGTCTGGTTAGTGCTTTTATTCTGTAGTTGCTGTAGTAGGTTGTCAAATGCAACAATATATTGGAGCTGCAGTGATTCATCAGTTAGTCAATGATTAGAGAATTGATTGTTTTATCATTATTTTAGTCACATTTAAAGCTGGTTCCAGTTTCTGAAATGTGAAGATTGTTGATTTTCTTGATCATATATGACTGTAAACTTAATGTGTTTGAGGTTTGAACTTTTAAAATGCAACAAAAAATTAATCCTTGAGGTTTTTGATATTATATTATCATTATTATTATTATTATTATTATTATTGTATCTACAGTGATGACATTTAATGTCTTTTTGAGATGAAAAGCTTGATCACACTCACTTATTTATACATTTAAATATAAAAAACCAAATCAGTGTTCCCCAACCCCCGGGCCCCAGACAGACCAGGCAGCAAGAGAAGAAAACACAGGCCTGTATATTGTGGAGGATAGACATGTTTCTTGCCCTGAGCTGTGTCTGGCAGGCAGAGCGTCTCCACAAATCTGAAGCTTCTGATTTGGAGAAAACGAGCTGAAGGAGACACCTGGTGGACAAACACAGACATGACAGGAAGAAAGACTAAAGTGCAGAGTGGAGACAAACAGCTGGAAACACTTGTTGGAAAGGATTGTCATGCTTCAGACAAACACACAGCACACACTCTAACAGTCCTTTATTTGCACTGAAGGAGACACGTGAAGAAGCCAAATCACACAATAATGATGTGAACACATTTATAGTCAGTGTTCAAGATGGTGGATAGAAATGAGAATCATGAAGCATTTGTTCACTTTTAGGTCTGTTTCTTACAGCAGAAGCAGCATTTACATGAACTCACTGGCCTTTTTCCACTGAACGCTCTCTTCTTCATCACCTCATCTTCCTCTTCTGACTGATGCTGAGCTCCAACCCTTTTTACTTCCTGGAGATGATTCATACTCACTGAAATTTTACTCATGACACAGAAACTGTTCAGTTATTCTTCATTTATTAGTCTGTTTATCAGGAACCTCTGTTGATTTTACATGTAAAGGATTTTTCTTCTATCATTGAACCTTTTAAGGGTTTTCTCTTAGTAGTTTTGGGGAGTTTTTAATTAGATTTACAGCTTCAGAATAACTTTGTGATGTCAGATTAGAAAGTCTGTGTCCAACCCTGGTGTTTGATCAGCTGTTTGATCCCTGCTGGGATGGATTTTTTATATGAATGTTGAATTTGTTGTTTTGGAACTGAGTTAGATTTTTATTGATGGATGATTCGTTGTAAAAAGTGGATCTACCAACAGTTTATTTCTTTGTTATTAACCAGCAAGTAGACTTTTCCCCAGATACAGAGTTTTGATTAGTGGAACTGACAAACAGTTTGAGGCTGATTTGGCTGATATGGGTGAATATTGAGCAGATAATGATGATGTGAGACACTTACTGACATGTACAGATGGATTTTCCAAGTATGCATGCAGGTGTCTTCAAACCAAGGCAGCAGCATCTGTTGCATCTGCTTTTGAGGATGTTCTGAGTGAAGGATGTGTACCTGTTAAACTTCAAATAGATGAAGGCGAGGAGTTTAATAATAAACATTTCCATCAGCTGAAGGTTCAGTTTAACATCACACATTGATTAAACCAAGTTTTGTGGAACGTTTTAACAGAAGCTTTAAGGGCCGTATGTGAAAATACTTCACATCTGTTAACTTATGAAGACATGTAAACGTGGTCCAGGACCTTGTGCTGTCAAGGCCAAGCAGCCGGTGTAAAGAGGTTGGAGCCAAAAGCTGACTCAGTACATGTTTGTTTGATTTGAATGAAAACTTGATTTATAGCAGGGATCATGAAGGTCGAGGCGAGACATGGAGGGAATGACACGGGAGCAGGACTCACTCACTATTAAATGCTGAAGCAAAGCTACAGAGAGGGGCGTTTCTCCAGGATTGCGGTGGAGTGAGGAAAGAACAACATGTCTGAGGTGAGTTTCTGGACTTACAATACGAAAAAGGCTCTATTTTTTGTTGCCTACATAGTAGAAGGTCACTTTGTCTCTAAACAGTAAAATGGGCAGTCAGGGGTTAAAGTGGATTCAGCAGGTGGAGGAACCCTAAAATCAGTTGCAACAGCTCAGTGTGGGGAAAACATTCACGACTCAGTATAATTGCTGCTGAGAGCTCCAGTAGATTTTCTGAATGTACAGGCTGTGATCAGCTGACCTGCTGCTCTTTGTGGATTTACACAAGTGAATTCAACCAGATGTCAGCAGATGTTTTATGAGTTGAACTGATTTCCATCCTCTACACTGACAGTAAACTGTTTATGCTCTTTTTATTAGACACTATTCAGCTGGTATGAAGGTGAAATTCAGTGAATCTTAACTGCAAATTCATCTCTGCTACACTTGATGTAATCAAACTCTGAGCATGAAACCACAGCCACTGTGCAGCAGTCACACACTGTTCTGCAGCAAACTAACCTGTTTATCCTGCACTAACCTGCAACCTTTAAATAGCACAGTGCCTCAGTTTGTTTAGCAGCACGTTTCAGGATATGAAAAAACATAATGTCACATGTACAGAACCAATATGTGATTTAAAAACATGAAGACTTACATGTGAGCTTTACAATCAGTCGTTGGGCCAAAAGCAAGAAAAAGGAAACACTTTAAGCCCTGACTATGACACATAGTTTTGCCACTTTTATTTCTTTTTCTGTGATATTCCGGTGATTAATACACCAACAGGAATGAATTTCATGTGTTACTGTTTAATCTCAAAGCAGTTTGATTTGAGGCTCGCAGTGACAAAATAATAACTCCCCTTAAAGGTGTTAAACCTAAAGTAATGAAGGTCTCCTAAAGGTCTCTTAGCATTAGACTCTTGCTATTTCTGTGCCTTCATTCTAATGTGTACACTCTGTGTTTAGTTCCCCTGGACGTGGCCCTGTTTTCCCGGAGCAGATCCTTAGTTTTGAATGATTGGAGAGTGGCTATAGCGAGCAGTGAGTGAGCGAAGAGAAGCTTTCCCTGTCCTCCCCACCTTGGATTTCCTGGAGCCTGGACCCCGTCACACTTGTATATAGCACAATTCCCTGCACTGTCTGTACACATACCTGGTGTAATAAACTATTTCTCCTCAAAGTGAAGAGTCCTGCGTGTGAGTCCTCAGTGAACGGTGACATCATTACAGTAACAAAGTATTTGTACTTCATTACTTCCTTCCTCATGCTGTAACCCTCGATTTCATTTGGTGTGTTTTTTTGATGAGATGCAGCTTTCCACACCATCTTTTCACCTATTGCTGATCACCACACTGTGTTTGTGTGCTAAAAGAGAAATCATTTCCTGCATGGAGACTAAACGGAAGCACAATTACATTAACTCAGAGGGTACAGCAACTGTTGCAGTTTGTCTTGAAACAACTGTAATCTCCACATCTGGACTTTTTTCTCAATTGAATTACGATTTTAATCTCAAAATTGAAACTTTATTTTCAATGTTATCTATAATAGTTTCTCTTAATGTGGCCGTAATACTCATTCGTACAGCAACATTGCCAGCAAACTGAAATTGGAAAAAAAGATGTAAGCAAAAAAACCACAAAGATGTAGGTTTCAAAACTTAGTTAATAATAGAAAATAAATTTATTCGCACATTTTACGGTTTCAATTCACCTTTTTTTCAGTTTTATTTTTCCCCTTTCGATACAACATTTTCGTGTTAATTATTCTCAGTTTCATTTTAAGGTGGCATCATTTTAACCCCACGCACACACAGAGGGTCCATAACACTCACATTTCCAGAGTGTAACAACCAACCACCTGTGTGACATCTGAAATGCCCATGGTGTTGATTCTATAATATATATTTAGCTAAAATCTACACATTTATTTGGGGGAAAAATGTTATCTAGCTGTGGTTCTAAAGATCTGTGATCGTTACGTGTTCACTGACACCTGATTTATGCACACACAGTTATTGTGGTTCATTTCATTATGTCTTGGATTTGTCTGAATGTTGTGCCTGCTCCTTTATCAGCCTTTGCTTCCTGCATGTACAGCTTATGTGATTATTGACCAGGAGGGTTTGCAGTTTCATCAAAACACGAGTTGTTTGTTGCTTTCATTATGACTTGGCTGACTATGGCTGCTTACACATTGCAGACTCAGACTATTACATTAATATGCAATTACTGAGCCTGGATAGCTCAGTCGCTAGAGCATCAGACTTTTAATCTAAGGGTCCAGGGTTCAAGTCCCTGTTTGGGCATCAATCTTTACTGAATTTCGCAGAGGAACCCACCCGAGAGATTAATAAAGTCTTATCTTGTGTAATGTAAGGGAGAAATTCTTATAGTGACAAATATTTGACATGATTGCCAAGTTGTCAAAGCACCGTGTCAGGTCTTTGAAAACTGTAATGCCCTTTCAGCTTCCTGCTGGACTAAACATGCCTTGTTGTTTCTTTCAAATCTGTCTAAACACATGCATGTTGTATTAGTTGATGAATTAAAATGGAAAATGGTGCTTTTGCCACTGAAGTCTGAATATGTGCCACTGGCAATGCAGTACTAGTTGACTTCTTTTTGCTTGCCCCCCAGTATGCTATGCTTTGCAGTTGTTGATTTTCTGGTGGAGGTGGATCCAAAATTATTTGCAATTGGTTTACAGGACTGGTGAAGGACTCTTGTTTCTGGTCACCAGGGAGAGTCCGTATCACAAAGGCTGTAAAGGATGCAGCTGCTCTAGATCAGAGGTGTCAAACTTAATTGTACAGGGGGCCAAAACTCAAAGCACACTTTAGGTTGAGGGCCAAACAGGGTAAGCATTTATTGAAAACACTAAAACAATGTTTTTTGAACATAAATATGAATAAAAACAGACAGGAATATTGTTTCAGAATAAATACACTTAGAATAAAGAATAACTTCTAATAACCGTCATAAGTGTTCAAACATGTCTTTTCCTGTCGTTGCATCGATTTAATGTCCAATATTTCCTCTGAAACGGGCATATTGGAGTTCAGTTCATGGATGAAGATGGCCAGCTGTGTAATGTCCATCATGTCTGTACTTTTATCCACAGCAACACATGATGCTATAAAGTATTTGCTTCTTTCACACGACTGTGTTCTTAAATCAGTGGTCATCTCGCAAACCCGATCAGCAACCGTATTTCTACTCAAGCTCACATTTGCCAATATCTGGGTTACCGTTACAGTTAACCCTAACACTAGCTCTTCTACTTTCTGTATGAGAACTATGACTACATGGAAGGAGGTAACACAGACGATCCGACAAAGAAAGAAGGCACACAGACTAAATACACACAAAGGAGATTAGGGAAAGTGGAAACACATGAGGAAACAGCAGACACCACAGGGAAAGTGAAACTAAAACACGCACACACACAGCAAGCTTGACGAACCAACAAGGGAGACTTAAACACAAGCATACTGAAAGTAAAAGACAGACCGCATAATGCTGTGAACAAGAACAGACAAGGGCATAGAAGAAAATCTAAACCATGATGAAACTCAGCTAAAACCTAAATGATGATCAACACCAGAACTTAACATATGTTCATTATCATGGGAGAGAAGAAAAAACTATACAGGGTTGCATTGTTGTATTTTGTCATGTTTCTCAGGTCTTTGTCTGAATTTCTACGAACATTATTGCTAAGGATTGTCTTATTGCATTGGAGTCACACTGGGTTAAATATGTACACTTGGGTTTTAAGGGGTATTTATTATTTTCTTCTTTTTTTTTTGGGTTGTATAGAAGCCCCAAACGCAATTTCATTGTTCTTGACAATGACAATAAATAAATAAATACTAATACTAAATCAAAAAGATGGGTCGCAGACCCAGACCCTGACACAGAACAGAAACTTGACTTGATTGACACTCTGAATTATTGAATCTGTAGCTTTTGTCTTATTAGCGCTTCATTTTGCTGAGCCATGAATAACAATATGAATGAATGAATCTATATAAAAAGGATCTTGCAGGCATATAAATGTACGCTGGGCTGGATGTGGCCCACGGGCCTCGAGTTTGACACGTATCCTCTAGATACTGAACAACTACAGAAAACTACATTTCTCCTGTGGCCTGCAGGTTCTGCATCTCACCGTCTGAAATACACAACGTAAACATCACTTTAATACTTTTTGCTTGTTAGAATAATGAACTACAGAAAGACGTCATCTTACCTAATAACTGCTGAGCACTGTTTGACTGGGACACAATGGGCACCTCTGCAGTCGACTCTGAATCTATATAGAAATGATCTCGCGGGCCGGATATAAATATACGTTGGGCCAGATGTGGCCCGCAGGCCTCGGGTTTGACACATATGATGTAGATTGATGGGTTTGTAAACGAGATAATGAAAGATTATATTAGGTAAACCTGTACAACTGCTCACCGATGCAAATATTTAATTAGCCAATCACATAGCAGTAGCTCCACGCATTTATGGACGTAGATATGGAAAAGAAGTTTAACAGGTTTGGTTGTTGGTATTACACAGGCTGCTCTGAGTATTTCAGAAACTACTGGGATTTTCTACACACAGCCATCTGTAGGGGTTACAGAGAAGGTTTTAGACTTGACAAATATTCAGAGAACAGCAGTAACGCCTGAAAGCACAATTCTTATTACAGTGTTTAAAGAAATCAAAGATACTTGTAAAGGTTTTTTTTAACTCTAATAACACATTCAAGATGAACACGTTGGCAGTGATGTTGCCAGAGACGTTTTCCTCTACACAAATCACTACAGTTACTTTAGCTTCAGCGTTGTTACATCACTACAGAAAACCTAGAAGCAAAATCACATTTGTGCTTGTTTCTTGAACTCTAAGAACTATAAAAATGGATGATTTTGAGATTGATGATGGTCTCGATTGCTTTAGTTTCTCAGTTTTAAATATGATACAAGACCAGAATTAATGAGAGGTGCAGACACAAAGAGGTTCTGCTCAAGATTAGATACAAAATGCAGCTGTAAGAATAGGAAATGTGGATATAGTTTCAAATGTGCTTGGTTTTAAAGTGAATGTTTCCAGACATTCATCCACTTGAAGCCAGATATTTCAGTCTATTTCAATTAAAACATTGTCTTCTGGCAGGAAAAAGTGCAATACAGTCTTTGAATGAAGTGCGCAGAGTGACTGAGGAACAATGCTTTATTAATTAGTAGGGAAACATCACATACATACATAAATAAAGACAGATAAACATAAAAATGTCCTCATATGAAAACACAACTTGAATTTTCCAAGTCAGACAGAAAGCGTCTGTTTTTAATCAGAGTTATAAATATCTCCTTGTTTAAACTGATCGTGTTTTTTTTAAAAAGACACCACCGCTCTCAAAGATTAGTTATGTCAGGCTTTATAAAAACACAATTAGTATTGTAGTAATATTATTATTTCTATAGAAGTCCAGCCTGGATTAAAGAGATTCTGCAGCACGGTTCGTGCAGTTAAAGGTGCTTGTGAATCGAAAAGGTCATTCAGTCACATGACCTTTAAAAACTGCAGAATTTTCAGGATACTCCAAAGATGTACATCTTTATAGCTGCAGATATTTCTCTTTCAAAAAAGAAAAAAGTACCACAGGAATAAATCAAAGGGAATACAAATAAAATGAAATTAGATTTTATTCACTCTGTTTTTTAGCTCCCCTCCTTTCAATTCAGTGTTTAACTTTGCAGTTTGTATGTTGGTTGTAATAGTTTCTTTCATACAATACGGCGTACCCCTTACTCTCATAGTAGGAGCCTTTAGTCTGTGGATTAACGCACAGACTGACTCAAGTGTCTGTAGGCCTAATAGGAGAGATCAAGTCATGGCTACGGCCACCAAATTATTCAGAACTGCTAGTGTTAGTGTGGTTTTGACTGAAAGCTTGTTAGCAATCACGTCACAGGCTGTAGTCATTTCCCGACTCATCCAGAGATCTCAGAGCTTCACTCTGACCAAAACAAAAAGGTCTGTGATTTCTGATAAGACATCGGCTTTCCTGAGGTCGTGAGGAGAGGTCATTATTGTCATTAATCTTGGAATGTACTCTCAATTAATAGATTTAGAAAGAATACAAATATACCTTGAAAACAAGTTGTTTTTCCCCTCTGTGGT